ACTCAATTAGAGTTGTCAATACCTTTGGATTATTCATAACTCTTATCTCTGAATTCATTTGTATCTGTACTAATTAACTGAATTTAGCATCTTACATCTGGTGTTATGCAAGTATGCAATATATATTTGTTTATGTGTGGGCAGTTCTTTTTTTTATATAAAAAAAACACTTTTTTGAAACACTAATTATGAGCCTTCAGAAAACTACAAAATAGAAAATAGGTTTGGCCATATGTTGAATCCCATATGTCATTTCAGTCAGTTTTATAATGTGTTGTTCTAAATGCATTTATTGAATACATTTAAGAATTTACATGAAAGGGGGTGCATACATTAAAAACGTTTAGAAAAGTCGCCCTATAGACCTTATGTAGCTCTGCCCCCTTTCAGCACTGTGTCTGCACCGGCAGCGTGAAGGTAAGGTCGTATGAATTTATGAATCACTCTGTTTAAAAATGTCCCGGTCTGCTGACATTTGTTATGACATCTGCTTTGAACGTTACAATGCTCATGATAAGTTCCATTAACTACAAAAAGTAAATCCACTTCAGTTAATTACTCTTAAACATTGATACTACAGAGCTACCACAAAAACTGAAGTTCAAAGACAGAAATCTAAAGATGGCTGCAAATTTGTTTCTCTGACACATAAGGTCTGTAAAGGTTAAAAAAAAAAGCCCGTGGAAGTCAGTTTAAATGGATAGTTTGTACACTATAAAATATGCTGGGTTGTTTCAACCCAGCTTTGGGTCAAATATGGACTAACCCAACCGTTGGGTAAAATTTTTACATAAAGTTTTTAACCCAAAACTTGGGTTAGTCCATATCTGACCCAAAGTTGGGTTGAAACAACCTAGCATTTTTAGAGTATAATGTAGTATGGGGGGGGGGGGTACAATGTAAGTTAACGGCCACCGTTAACTGTTTGGTTACCAACACAACAAAATATCATCTTTTGAGTTCAGTTTTGAGAAACTGATACAGGTTTGGAACCACTTGAGAGTGAGTAAGTCAGTGAGAGTGAGAATTGGTGATCTATCCCTTTAAAGGGGCAAATGTCATAATGGGAAAGTAAGATTCTGTCACTGCTTATAGGTCTGGGATTATTTTTCAATTTTTATCAAGCTTCACTTAATCTTTTTTGTTGTAATAGAAATGAATACCCTTGACTATATTGGCCTAATCACTTAATATGTTAGTTTGGTTCCAAATGTGGTTTGAGTAATCAGATCATGTGAAGAGTACTGAAAGCACCCAGTGGCTAGACAGTGTCTTTCCATGTGATTAAGCTCGCTGGGAAAATCTTATTAGATCATGGATCTGTCACCCTTCCCTCTATGAAAGTAATTTAAAGCTCTGAAAGTTTCACAGGGCTCAGCTCAATGTTATTAGCATTATGGCAAATGCAAATTGGCTATGCTGTATGTACCCCTTTATGCATTCAATGTGGATGGGAAGATGTGCTGTAATTGTTACACATAAGATAAATGTCTTATTCATTGGCTGATGTAGGTTGAGGTTTTTAGACACAATTATTTCTGCAATTCTGTTTGATGATGCAAGTGATGACGCTAGTGTCAGTGTCAGATGCTATGATAGTACAGCAAAGATGGGAATGGGAAGCTGCCAGTGTTGTGCCGAATTCTGCACACCTGCCAGATTACTACTCCCCTCACTGAAGTCGCTGCCTGATTGCCTAATCCTAACCCCTCCCCCACATCTACTCCTAAACCTATCAATACTAGCGGGTAATAATCTGACAGGGGTGCAGAATTCAGCACAACACTGGAATGTGTTTCTTATGTTTACTGGTCAGCACTCTTCACTTTGATCTGCTCCCTAATTCTAAAAGACACTCCTGCTGACAACTCAGAAATCCCACAAAGAGTTACTCAGCAGTGGTGTTATGAAAAATTATGGCCGGGGAAGCCAATGACCTAATTTCACAATTTGAGTTGAATTACTGAAATAAATGAACTTTTCCACGACATTCTAATTTATTGAGATGCACCTGTATATAAAATTATTTTCTATACCCACTGTATACACACACACACACACACACACACACACACAATGTTAATGTCCAAAAATTAAGATCAATAATTTTGACAAGTAAATATTTAAGTAAATATAAGTAAATATATATTTAATACATATTCAATATATATTTAAGTAAATATAAGTGAATATATATTTACTGTGTGAAAATATATAAAAAAATATATCAATAAATATTTAAATGACTCATATTACTGCACTCTTTGTTTAGATTTTAAAATGATTTTATATTTAATATTTTTCTATTTTATTTTATATATTTGTGAATGTGTGGGACAAGGCGAAAACAATAACATCTATACATAAAAGGCATTTGCAATGTAGCACAAATAATGAAATGATTAAATGTTTTCAAGACTGTATTAATGTGTTGATAAAAAGTGATCACAGCTGAAGAAAAACACACACACACACACACACACACACACACAAGAAAACAATGTGGCTTTATTAGTTTTCAAAGAATTCTGTCCAACAGCAAGGTAGCATCTGTGCTCTATAGCTAGACATGGTGAGCGTGACTTTTTTAATTGAAGTCTCAATGGGGTGTTTGCCTTGATGGAGTCATGCAAACCGCCATTAACAGGATCCTTTCAATCTATGTACGTCACCTGATGTTCAGCCCCTTTCACCAGTAATTACAGCTTTGGATGCATTACATGTGCATAAGTGGTACAAATACCACTTTTACCATTACACAACAATTAGTGTAGAATAAAGAACGCAGGAGGAAAATACTAGAAACAGTCAGTGTGAAAACTTATTTGAATGAAAAATAGGTTCAATGGAAAACTGAAAGGAACATAAGACAAAATTATTGTGGCAAAGTTTTGCAAAAAACTTAATTATGATTGATAAATCAATCAAACAACCATTCTCTCTTCTTATAAAGCATTTATCATTTATAAAGATTACAGTAGCTCTGATCTCACAATAATCGGTAACACTTTACAATAAGGTTCATTAGTTAACTACATTAGTTAGCATGAACTAATAATGAACTGCACTTATCCAGCGTTTATTAATCTTTGTTAATGTTAATTTCAACATTTACTAATACATTATTAAAATCTTGTTAACATTAGTTAATGCCCTGTGAACTAACATGAACTAACAATGAACATCTGTATTTTTATTAACTAACGTTAGTAAAGCTTAGTAAATACAGTAACAAATGTATTGCTCATGGTTAGTTCATGTTAGTTTATACATTAACTAATGTTTAACTAATGAACCTTATTGTAAAGTGTTACCCAATAATCTGCTGAAAACGAAAAGGTTAGGCAGCAATAAAAAATTCAATAAAAGGAGAAAAGAATAAGATATTGTTCAAGCAGATAAACATGAGATGAATATATATTTACTGTGTGAAAATATATAAAAAAATATATCAATAAATATTTAAATGACTCATATTACTGCACTCTTTGTTTAGATTTTAAAATGATTTTATATTTAATATTTTTCTATTTTATTTTATATATTTGTGAATGTGTGGGACAAGGCGAAAACAATAACATCTATACATAAAAGGCATTTGCAATGTAGCACAAATAATGAAATGATTAAATGTTTTCAAGACTGTATTAATGTGTTGATAAAAAGTGATCACAGCTGAAGAAAAACACACACACACACACACACACACACACACAAGAAAACAATGTGGCTTTATTAGTTTTCAAAGAATTCTGTCCAACAGCAAGGTAGCATCTGTGCTCTATAGCTAGACATGGCGAGCGTGACTTTTTTAATTGAAGTCTCAATGGGGTGTTTGCCTTGATGGAGTCATGCAAACCGCCATTAACAGGATCCTTTCAATCTATGTACGTCACCTGATGTTCAGCCCCTTTCACCAGTAATTACAGCTTTGGATGCATTACATGTGCATAAGTGGTACAAATACCACTTTTACCATTACACAACAATTAGTGTAGAATAAAGAACGCAGGAGGAAAATACTAGAAACAGTCAGTGTGAAAACTTATTTGAATGAAAAATAGGTTCAATGGAAAACTGAAAGGAACATAAGACAAAATTATTGTGGCAAAGTTTTGCAAAAAACTTAATTATGATTGATAAATCAATCAAACAACCATTCTCTCTTCTTATAAAGCATTTATCATTTATAAAGATTACAGTAGCTCTGATCTCACAATAATCGGTAACACTTTACAATAAGGTTCATTAGTTAACTACATTAGTTAGCATGAACTAATAATGAACTGCACTTATCCAGCGTTTATTAATCTTTGTTAATGTTAATTTCAACATTTACTAATACATTATTAAAATCTTGTTAACATTAGTTAATGCCCTGTGAACTAACATGAACTAACAATGAACATCTGTATTTTTATTAACTAACGTTAGTAAAGCTTAGTAAATACAGTAACAAATGTATTGCTCATGGTTAGTTCATGTTAGTTTATACATTAACTAATGTTTAACTAATGAACCTTATTGTAAAGTGTTACCCAATAATCTGCTGAAAACGAAAAGGTTAGGCAGCAATAAAAAATTCAATAAAAGGAGAAAAGAATAAGATATTGTTCAAGCAGATAAACATGAGATTGTCCCTGAACAGAGAACACAAGGGAATGTGTTGATTCCATACTGTTTTTTAGTTCTCTGGCATCAAAAGATCATATGAAATGTTTTCAAAAATGTCCTCTGCTAATTACTTCACTTCGTGTCCTATGTTCATGCAGTAATGCACTACTGTGGGCTGCAGACACAGACTTGATGCTCTTGAAAATGTCATAGCACACCAAGTCCAAGCTTTTCTAGGCTGCAAACCATCCAGCAACCTTTTTTCTTTTTATTTAGTGTGAGTTCTGCTGTGTCATGTGCCCTGCTAGTTTTCTCTGAGCGCTCTGCTCCTCTACAGAGTGTAATTTTGCTCACAGCACCCCTGCAACAGCAGATCCAGATCCAGATCATTTTGCAAAAAGGCAAGGTAGCAAGCTGACAATGGGCGCCACGCTGTCTTTGCCATCAGAGTGAAACATGGTCCAGAGACTGATGAATATGTAGGGCGCCCAGGACACAATAAAGCCTGCACTGATCAGGATGCCCATCTGAAACACAGGAGAAAAAACAGAAATTAGACAGCAGTTAAAGGAATATTCCACTCAAAAATTAACATTTGCTGAAATTTTGCTTCCATGATGTAGATGATTTTGTTTTTTCATCTTTTCTTCATTCAAACAGATTTGAAGAAATTTAGCATTACATCACTTGCTCACCAGTGGATCCTCTGCAGTGAATGGGTGCCGTCAGAGTCCAAACAGCTGATTAAAACATCACAATAATTCACAAGTAATCCATATGACTCCAGTCTACCAATTACTCCAGTCTATCACTTGTGAAGTGAAAAGTTGACTTCAAACTTGTAAAATATGAGTCCTCTATCCACAGTATTGCTGTTGTGTGGAAGTGGATTATTGTGATGTTTTTATCAGCAGTTTAAACTCCCAACCTGACGGCACCCATTCACTACAGAGGATCCACTGGTGAGCAAGTGATAGAATGCTAAATTTCTCCAAATCTGTTATGATGGAGAAACCAACTCATTTACAACTTGGATGGCCTGAGAGTGAGTGCATTTTCAGCAAATTTTCATTTTTGGGTGAACTATTCCTTGGAATGATTCAAAAGTGACAACTGATTCATGTTGGACATGCTACCACTGTTGTAGTCTGGAGGAAAGGGCACCAATACATTAATTTAGAGTGATGGCTCCACATGTACCATTTAATAATTAAGGCTTCTAAACAACATAAGCTGTGCTTAAATATCAGAGCTGACAGCAAACAAAAGATACAGGTGCAGAAAAAAAACAAAAGATGCAGAAACACCCGATTACAATTTTGCTCCAATCTCCAGAGGGAAAAGCCCTGACAATACACCCACAAAACACTATTAAGCTTTAGATGCAAGTGCCTGGTAAATAACAAGGCTATTTCTTGGAAATCCTTTACATCCATTAGTGACCTTTAAGGACTGGATGGAGCTTGACTTTAACCACCTAACCCACTTCTAGCAAAAACATTCATTAGGTTTAAGATTTTAGATTTAAAACCAAAAAAAAAAAATACAAATCTTGTGGACAGAAGATGGAGCTTGGGAGTGAATCTGCATCTGTCACCGTAGCAGGAAAAACTGTTTATGTGTGAACACTCCAGGGTTTGCACATACTGTGACCCTGCATGTTGTTAAACGCTTAAAAGACAAGTTTGCTGATTTTTAACCAGCTTTGTATTGTCTTTCTTTATGTTACATGTAGCCAGATCTCCCAGTTTATCTTCCAGCAAAAGTCCACCAGATGATGCTGAACACTTGTGTCAGCCTTGATATTTTGCATCATCTGGTGGACTTTTGATGACAAACAAAGGCAGAGGATTTGGGTACAGGTAACATGGAGAAAGAATGCAAATGGTCATTTACATATACTATGACACTGTAACAATACAAAGCGGGTTGAAAATCATCAAACTTGTCATTTAAAAGAAATGTAAAAACCCTAGCCATAATTTTTAGTGTACATATTGTCACCTAGAAGGACATTTCAAATAAATGCAATCAAAACAATGTGCTAAAAACTTAAGAAATCAAATATTCATTAGCTATGCTCACTAAAGGTGTGGTCATATTAGAGATATTTTGACAAAATTTCACAGACAAAAACAGGTCAACTATTGTTAACAGTGTAGCAATGTATGAAGCAAAACTCACACAGAAGTTGTTTTCAAGCCAAGTAGTTTTTTTTGGTCTTAGCCAATAAGCCAAACAGCAAATGTGAGCAAAACTAGTACAAGTACTCATAATTATTGTTAGAAATTTGAACAAACCCATTAAACTTTGGTGCATAACTTGTCCCACACCATATGTGCTTTAGAGATGAATGAATCCTTAAATCATTGCAAACTTGACTTTGTTTTCCAGTGGACTGATATAAACTAGTACAGTAAATCCCAGTGCTCGGAAACTCTGTAAGGCTAGCTAGTCAGACCGAAGCCTGCCTGTTTTGAGAAAGCTCTTTACATTTTTGTGTGCAATTTTGGATAACCCTTACCAGGGTGACTTTTCTCTCAACTGCCCCAGAGTTGGGCAGGTTATCATTGCTCTGGATGGACTGATAGGCCTTGTGGAGCTTCCAGGCGATGCCAGAGTAGGAGAACAGGATGACCGCACATGGGATCAGGGTGCACAGGATGGCCAAAGCCATAATGAACGAAGAGCCATTTAAGGAGTGCTGGTACCCGGCCCAGTCCACAGAGCAGGCCAAACCGAAGGGTTCCGGTCCGTATCTTCCCCATCCCAGAAGAGGAAACACTGCCCAGAGCAGTGAATACAGCCAGATGACACCGATCAATATACTTATAGTTTTTCTTTGAAACTTGCTGCCTGGAACAGATAGACAAGAAAAAGTTATTTGATGTTGTTCTTCATAGGCGAAAGATCATCCTCTGCTAATTTGACAATCATTTGAAAAGGAAAAGAAAAATAGAGCAAAGAGAAACTAATTGGAAGACAATTGGGTGTTTAAATAGATCACTAAAATTAAAGATGAACCATCATTATGCCTGTCTATATTCGCTAATGACTTTTTCACGAGTCAATAAAGATTTCAAGGACAGATGATGCTCTTGTGTTTCGAGAGCAAGTAGTCCCGGTTTGGGTACAAATTAATGACCCAATTAAAATATATACAGTGCACAGCATAAATGAGTACACCCCCTCTAAAACTTAACAAATTCAGCAATTACTCTTTCCTTAGAAGTCATGTTAGGGTTATTTGGAGATATAATGTTCCAACAAGCCTGCTTGATCAATTACCAAAGAAGAATAGCAAAAATATACAGCAAAATAAGATTTTCTTATCAAAGTGATAAAATGTTGTGTTGCAAAAATGAGTACACCCTCCCGAAAGTTACTAAAAAAAAAAAAAAGTGTATAGGTTTAAGGCTATTTTTGATCAACAGGTAAGTATATTGAACCAAACCTTTTAAAGACAAGTAATTTTCTGACAATTAAAAGTGTTATATAGCACACTGAATCATACTCAGACTTAATGCTGGCAGCAGTGGAACCACTTGGGAGAGAACTGCCAGATGACTTGTTTCTTAGCATAAAAGAGGACAATGGTAGAAGAGGAATACCAAATTATTATTTTAAGCGTGAAAATATAGCAGAAGTAGCACCAAAATGAAAAAAAAAACAATGGACTTGTGATAAGGCTCCTGAAATAATCAGGTCTTCACTTTAAGTTTTCATTTAGTGATGAGTGAATTTTTGAGTGACACTTTATCTCACAGAGTAAGATGCAGCATGCAGAAGTGACATGCATGGTTTTTGTCACCACTAGAATTACCTACTGTAGCCAAAGCTAAATAAACTCATTTAACCTCTTACAGGGCCCATATTTACAAAATAGAGACTTCTGGGAATCCATACTCTGGTCTCAAGAGACCAATTCAATCATTTCGGATCTAACAGCATCCAAAATGTTCTGGTGTTGCTAGAGGAGGAGTACAGAGAGAAGTGCTTGGTACCCACAGTGACGTTCAGTGGTAGTAAAGCTCTTCTATAGAGATGTATGAGTGCTGAAGGTGTGAGGGAGTTGTGCTTTATCAATGCTGGCATGAATTCACACACTACTGTGTGATGTAATACAAAAACTTGAAATAGAAGATGCTCCCCTCCCCTCATTCCCTGCATTATTGGGCATTTTTTCAGCATGACAATGAATATATTCATCCTCCCAAGGTAAAAATCCTTCAGTGAACATATATTTCATCTTAACACTCTTGAGCAGCTGTGGGGGATTCTGTAGAGACGAGCAGAGCAACACTCCCCATTAAAGATCAGAGCATTTAAGGAGGTCGTCCTCCAGGAGTTAAACAGCACAGATGTGAAAATTTGTCATGAACTTGTACACTCAGTGCCAAGAAGGGTCAGAGCAGTATACTTTAAGTTCTGGAGGACATACTAAGTACTAGAATATAATACATTTTCTGAATTAAATCGAGTGTGTACTAATTTCTGCAATCCTTCATTTAAACAAAATTGGCTAATTTACTTATCTTACAGAAAATATTGGCATACATTTTGCTGTTTTTATTAAGTATATGTTTAATATGTTTAAATTTGGCCATCTTTCCATGAATTATATTAGTGATCATTAAGAAAATGCATCTTTTATATTTATTCAGAGAGGGTGTACTCATTTATGCTGTGCACTGTAAGTGTCTACATTTAGGTACATAAGGACATTTCAAAAGCTCATTCTGGATGATGAAGCACTCATAAAAGGGTCATTCTGTTGGCTGAGCGCATCTAGTACTGCATTGTAAATGCACAAAAAATTGAGAAGGACAGAATTCAATGCAAGTAGCCTATTTAGACAAGAAACCTCTTCTGGAAAGTTTACACAGTCTGTTGTTAATCTGAATACTTGGATGTACATCACAATACAGATGAATAGATTGTTTCTAGTTGTAAATAGCTCTAAATCTTTGACTATTTTTCTTTCATCCTCAACCATTGAAAACTTTAACTTAACATAATTGCATAGCACATAACGGCACAATTTAAATTCTGTCATTCCTGGCATTTGATGTGACGATGTTATTTGTGGCTTCCTGTCATTTGTGATAATTCTGCTTTCTTGATTAAACGAACACTCAAGAACACAGTGATGTTTCATCTATCTATTTTGATTTTGATTATAAAACTGTGATTACATTGTATGCAATTTGCTTCAGATTCATAAGGTTTTTGTTGTGTAAAATGATATCTCGGCTATTTCTTACAAGTTTTTCAGTGAATATTGCTCAGTCTGTTTTTTGTTTTGAAAGTCAAGTGTGGTATGGAATCAAACTTTAAAATCGTGGCTATATAAAAGCTATTAAATATTTCCACCATTATTGCCCAGGAAAAAATATGGTTCATTAAACACACATTGACCTTTTGTGTCCCAAAACCCAATGTTCTTGGATGCAACAACAATGAAATGAAATGCTGAATCAATAAAATAATTAATGTTTGTACATTTTAAGATGCTGTTTTAATGTCATTTAGGCCTCATGGAATCAGCACAATACCTGATTTCGGAGGGTTTCCTGTCACCAGATATCTCACTAACCCCATGGCGGCCAGAGTCATGATGCTGGCCACACTGAAGGTCATACCCATCAGGCCATAGTACAGGCAGGAAGGGTCACCTCCAATCCAGGTGTGGTTGAAGGCAGAGGCGACTGAGAGTGGGTACATGCTGAGAGCCATACCAATGTCAGTCACAGCCAGATTGACTGTGAGGAGCTCAGGAGCTTTGAGAACACTGTGACGCCAGGTGGCTGTTACCAGTACGGCTGTGTTGCCCAGGATGGAGAGGATGGCTGGAAAAAAATAAGTGGTAAAAAAGTACAAATCTAATTCCCGATTATTACATTGCACTTTTCAATAAACTAAATAGCAAAGACTGTGTTTCATTTATGAATTTAGAGACTTATATCTTGACCTATACCATATGATAATATAACATTACATTCATCCAGCCAAAGTAGGGTGAAGGAGAATAAATTGTGTAGGCTATGGCAGGCAGTTGATATATTTGGCAGCCTGGTAAATGCCAGATGACAAAAATGATCGTTTTTTTTTTTTTAAACAATTTGACTTAACTTTAAATTGAATTAAAATTATTTTATTTAAATTACAGTTAAAATAACAGAAAACAATGCAGCAAACTGATCTCCAAGCCATTATTTTAACACGCGCACAAACGCATACTACTCATACAGCGTGCCAGCGTGGATACAGGGGGATACAGGCCTGTACAGGTAGATGTAAAATCTGCACAACGTAAAGATCATCGCCCAAAAATGATGTTCAAAATGATGCTTGTACAATATATGTGCATAGAAAAGTATATTCAAATGTAGTATTTATTATGTTAGTGACTTGTTAGGGAAACAAACAAGCGATTCTTTTCAGAAGTATAAACTCAAGCATATGAAAGACTCCGTTTGCTAATGAAAGTTCTATTTTTATTATGTAACGTTAGTAATATTTTAGATGAGGTTGCTCATTTTATGGTTTTAAGTCAACTTCTTACAGTTTGACATTGTGAATACAGTTTTGTTTTTACAAGGTTATGGTAATTACACTTCATCTAATCGAGTTTTCTATTTCATCTTGGATTATGGATTATTTTTGGATTTTTATTTACATTCCATCAAGAGCATCATACGGTAAGGCTGTTACATATTTTTACTTAGCCTACTCAATGTTCTTTTTAGCAGCATCATATGACCCCTTTAACAGGCTATATGATATATTAGTTTATTGTAATATTATATTGTAATTTTGATGATACTTAAAGAAGGTCTAGTATCTGCACTAGCCTAATACATGCATAATTTCACCTGTCTACTGATCCATTTATTAAACACAAATTTGGTTCAATGATAATTGAACCAACAGTAATATTTTTTTTATTTAACATGTTGTAATTTAAGAGGATTTTACAAAATATTACTAAAATATTTATTAAAATATTTATCTCTAACTTATTCACCATTTATCATCTGTAATACTATCTTGTAACGATACCATAGTGATACCAAAGTGTTGAGCATTGTCACATAACATCATTTTGATTATAAAGTTTCACATCAGCTCACTGGTGTAAGCAGATTATGACATTTCAATGTAAAGCCAAACCAATCCAAATAATTTTAACAATGCTTGCAATTCAGTATGAACACATGGGAGTCTAGCCTAAAGGAACACAGCTTATGAAAGGAGCATGTTTTAGTTGTTATTTTTTAATAAAACTTTTTACTGTAAGTGTACGTTAAAAGTACCATTCCGACAGCAAGAATGATCCTGAACTAAATGAAGATTAATGTCTTGGGTATGATGTGTTTATTGGACCAATCAGATAAGAGTAACTGGAGAGTCAGAGAGAGGCTCATTTGATTGGCTACAAGAAGAAGGTGGCCCGCCCTCCCCCTCACACTTGCAAAACTCAGTTAGTGAAAGAACAGTGCCAAAATTGTAAGCGCAGAGAAAAGAAAGACGGAGCTGTACATATCGGTTTATTTCGGGACCTTTTTGCCCCACATGCACAACAAGTCATTTAGACATTTGCAACAGTTTGTTTTTTTACACATTCAGATTGGTTCTATGCAGTCATTCCGTTTTGCAGTTCTTTAAACTGTTGTTTTCGCTTGCAAATCACTGTTCACAGGCTTGCAGTGCTTTTGACCATCTTTTGGCGAAAAAAATGTGCCAAAAGTGTAAGCGCGGAAAAATGGAAGTCAGAAGCATGCAGATCATATTTATTTTGCGTTAGCATGAAGCTGCAGTTTCACAATACATGAATTACACTTACGAGTAACAGTAAAATGCTGCAAATAATTTTTTCTTGCGCTTGAAACGCGATTTACACCTTTACAAAGCTTCTCTTGCGCATTCAAATTTAATTTACTCTTACAGTCTTATGTACTCTTCCACAACTCTTACCCTGCATATGCAAATCTTTTTGACATCATTCTACCTTCATAGATATTCTTTATAAAAGTTAAGAGTCAGCCACACCTACCTAAAACGGCTCGTTCTAACACGCCCCCACATACCTACGTCACTATCTGGGAAGATTTGCATAATGCCGCCCAAATGTTCACGCAAAGAAAGAAGGCGTAACTTTTATTCTCGCTGTAGTATTGTTGCCGCTGCCGCCATGCTGTGAAGACGCTGTGTGCTTCGTTGTGAAAGCGAAACTACTTTGTTTGGTCTTCCAAAAGAGTAGGATAGCTGATATAATTACACCAAATACAGCAAATAATGTTCTTTTTAGCAGCATCATATGACCCCTTTAAGCTGTAGCGTACTGTGATTATTATTTGTGTGTTGAATCGAGTCGATGCTGCTGGTTAGTTGTTGTGCAGCAATTAAATTTTTCTGTCTTTTTGTCATTCATCGCTCAGGCATCTTGGTCAGCTGCAATACTGAATTAGAGAAAACGAGCTTTCCCTCAGACAAAATTATTGATGTGTCCTGAACTGAATTGTTTCAAGGTTATAGTTGACTATTAGCTGTAAGATTACACTTTGACTATTGATATGGTAACTTGTAAAGAATTAAAATGTGCAGGATTTCGCTTGTTGTTGGCACGATATAATGACATAACCTGACTCATTCTCAGTTAATAGGCAAATCAACTTGTAGACGTTTAAAACTTAAAATAAATCTATAATAAATTGATAAATAATGACAGCACTTATGTCTTGTCGATGTACCCTTTTAGCCACGTGGACTTTTATGTTTGCTTAAACGTTGTTTGAAGATGCTGTTGAAATAATGTATCTTTTTTTAAACTTAAAGGATCCCAACCTTTTTGTTTTGAATTATTTTGTTAGTTAAACCTTTGCAATAAGCAAATAGATTGAATGGCTAGGTACAGTCTCAGTGGAATCCAAGGAATCCATTCCTTGCTTTTTAGCCTATACAGTATGCATATCATTTTTTCAAAGCTATTTTCTTTAGCTCAATAAGCTGAAGGGACCACTTTTGAAACGTATTTTTTTAAATAAATGTTATTTTTAATCAAGGTTTTAGAATCTGGCATCATACGACCCCTTTAAATCATTCATTCAGACTGTCCAATTAAAGCACTACAGTTATGGATGACTGAGAAGAATATAAGTTATCCTAGAATTTCAAGCCCATTTTGCAACGTAGTGTTCATGAATGATCTTTCTGGACTGAAGATTTTAGCTGTTTCATTTCAAAAATTAGTTTTCACCATTCATCACAACCATTTCTGATGACTTGTATGTATAATCTGCTACATTTAAGTGCATTAACCCACTTCAAAAAGACAATTAAAATGTTTGTTTATAGGCTGTATGCATTTTATGTAACCCAGGCTCACTGGAAATATGTGCCTGTGATGACATTTCGGCAAAATTATATTATGTTGCTTCTTGCACATTTTGTGACACTTTCAAGTGAAATGTCCAGTGAGTGGTGCACTTGGATAGAGTGGTTCTATCCAAAACAGATGAACAACAATCTGGCAATGATTTATTACGTTTGTTGTTGTATGTATTGTGAAAGAAATTAAATGTCCATTGGTTCAGCGCTAATAAGTTAATGCTCTATTGCAAGTGCAATGCTGTACCTGGTGACCTGCTTAGCAATTTTACTATGTCCAAAAAGTAGGGGTGTATTCACCGAAAAAACACAATGCACCCCCTTGGTACTTACACTCTCATGGCATACCACAATACTGTCTTGGCCTACCCTGCTCCCTGCTGACACACTTCAAGCATGTACGGCCATGGTTTTTAATTGCTTGAATCACTTTGAAAAGGAAGGTACCATTAAGGGCAACATGTGCAGAATAAATCTCATATAGGTTGCATAAAATTATAATGAGAACACGACTATAAAATAATATGCCATGTTTCAGCGCATTGTTATGGAAAGAATGCATCCACATTTATATCTTCATGTCTAGCACATAAGTTCACTTGCGCAGCCACACACAGCCTTTTGTGGAACTGTAAGTTGCAATATTTTTTATATATATATATATAGTGTATATATTATTTATCTAATATAAGATGCATTTGGTTGAGTTACGCTGCCGTAAAGTGCGTTGTCGCGTTCCCGCCTGCAAAAGCTTGCATAAATGTAGCCTATATAGATTTTTTTCAGTGCATCCATGAAATTTACATTAAATGTAATATTAAATAACACTATAAATAAAATTATAAATTTTCAGTACATCCATTAAATGTACATGAAATAGTAAGTTCCGTGTCACCTAGCCACAACAATCCAGCATAAATCACAAAATATTTATTATTAAAGCATCAACATTCACAAACCACTGTTATTTTTTTAACAGAAAAGTAAGCATAGCCTGCTGCGTGCATGGTTTGGCATGGCAGAATGCGAGCAAAGACCGCTTTCTTTATAATCACTAAAAAGCTGACATCTCAGTTCATCGCGATCTCACAAAGCTTTGTTATAACACAATGAATATATGCACAATGAATCTTTCATAATGTCTACACTTTGTGTGTTATAATAAGAGGATTCGTGAGCATGCAAATTTCAGCACTGCACAAGAACTGGTGCAATAGATGAATAACAATATTTTTAGATATTTTATGTTTAGATATTTCTATTTTGCGGGAGTGCAGGTCTCTACCATGAACCCTACCACCACAGCAAACCGAACCGTGGCATTGGTATATCGTTACACCCCTACCAAAAAGCCGTTCATATGAAGATGGTTATGTGATGCAAATATCAAAATGTATTCGTTTACAAAGCATGCACTATGATAAATCTGCCCCATAATCAAAATTTGTGTGAAAATGAATATACGTTGTTGCTATTTTACTGCTACTAGTGCTCATTTCAATTGGAAATTGTGAATTATATGTATAGATATATATAGAGTTTAGCAAAAATGTACGGTAAGTAAAGGCATGATTTTACAGGATGCGGTCCACTATGTAATACAAAGCAGTGGCGGTTCTACATTGAATTACATCCTGGGCGAGACCCCCTTCGAGCCCCCCCCCCCAAAAAAAAAAATTCTGCACAAACAGTTATAATTTATTATAACAACATAAGTGAAAGAGAAAATTATATTTCTCAATTGCGCAAATTTATTATAACAACATAAGTGAAAGAGAAAATTATATTTCTCAATTGCGCAAATCATTAGAACATTTGAAAAACACACTTAAGAGAATCCAGTTATTTAACTAGTGCAATTACAACAGGAAACACACTTTTTAAGGTGCACAAACTCCACCTCCAACATTGCCAAAAGACAAAGAACACAATT